ATTCCTTGTTAAAAATATGTATATATAAAAACCCTTTTAAGAGACTGGGGTGGTGGTTCAGTGGTAGAGTGCCTGCCTAGCATGTGCGAGGCACTGGGTTCAATTCTCAGTACTGCATATAAATAAATAAAATAAAGGTCCATTGACAATTTAAAAATCAAAACAAAGAAACCCCTATTAAGATAATTCTGTCTGCTGCGCCACTCTACTGGGCAGCCCGACAGGCTTTCCCTGTCATGAAACTTTTGTTTTTGAACTGTCTTGAAAGATTTCTTTGAACGTTCTGTCCTATCACTAACTCCATTTTGGTTTAGGCTTTTGGGCCTACTGCAGGAGTTCAGAGCAAACCAGTGGCCTCTGATACATTCTCTTTACAGTTGGAAGTCCTGGGGAAGAGAACAGAAGAAAAGTGTCCATCTCAGAATAGAACAGCCATGACCACTACACTAGTAAATGACTTCAAGCACCCAAGTGCCTTTTAAACGGTCTCCTTTCCCAGAATGGGCTTGCATCAATGCCTCTTCTCCACCACCACCAAATTCATCTTGCAAGAACACTGAGTCTGCCCTCTACCTATCTTTCTAGCCTGAAAAACTCTGTCTCAATTACACCTGGCCTGCTTGACATCAGGGAAATACATCCTAAGCTGATTCATTATTAAATCTTTGTGCAGACCATCCCTTCCACCTGGAAAACTGAAAATGTACCTGTTTTTCAAGACACAGCTTGAATTCCACCCTCTCATGAAGTTTCCTGATTACACCTATCAGAGGTGACAACTAGCTGTTGTGAAAACACAATTGTCAGGGCTGGCGTCACGGACGAAAGGCCTGTACAGTTCACAGGGCCTCAGATTAAAAGGCCTCATACTTGGCTAAATGCTCTGCTGCTGGGTCTTGAGATTCTCAATTTCTTCCCCGACCCCCTTCATTTCACTCTAAGGACAAAACTTGTGTCCCTCTCTCAAATAATCCAGGCTGCGTACTTCAGACCACGGGCGTCAGAGTCCTCACAGAGCCAGTTACCACATTACAAAAGCATCTACTTCCCCTCAGTTCCGTAGACTTAATCTATCGAAGAGGCATGAGACTGATTTTATCCAAGGAGCCAACAGGTCTTCAATTCCTCCTAACACAACTACATTCACAAGAATATGCCAACTTGATCCTCATTGTCAAGTTCCAGTGGAAGGTTTTAGAGGCTGGGCCAGCTGCAGGCTGCTAGCCCTGGAGCAGCTGTGTCGGGTTTGGGGTAGGAGTACTGTGGCTTGTCTGATTCCCCTACACTGTTCTGCTTTTGCAGCTTTCCCCCTCTCTACTTCTAAAACCGCAGGTTCTCTGAAACACAGGCGATTCTCCTAGTGGTTCTCGTTGCCATAACAGGAGAGTTCTGTTTGTAGGAAGCAGCAGAGGACATTGGTTAAGTAAGAGTAATTAGCCAGCCAGGACTGTCTCTGTGGTATCTGAATGGATATTATTTTTCTCTTATGATAATTTTTTAATTTTATTTTGATTTTCAGTATTGGGGATTGAACCCAGGGTTTCACACACGCTGGGCAAACACTCTACTTCTGAACTATATCCTCAGCCTATCTAAAGATATTTTAAATGCTAGGAACACACAAATGCATTCTCTAGTCTACCTACCATAAGTCTTGGCACATTGTAGGCTCTCAATAATATCTTGTGAATGAAATAAAAAGCAGCTAATAGACCAAATTGACCATAATCAAAGCCAAGCTCAGGGCCAGGGCTCTCATGTGCATCTCTCAAGTGAATGAACACACAGTCACCAAGTTAAAAACGAACAAACAAAAAAAACACCAAACCTTTACTTTACAAATATTTATATGGACAGGAAACAGAGACTTTTTCTAAGAACCATATGTGTTTCTGAAGTTTTTTACTTAATCCTTTTTAAGATTAAACTTGGAATTTCTATGTAAGAAGAGTTTAGCTAGTATTGTGAGTTTCTATATATTTGTTTACTAAAAATAACATTTTTGCATATTGAAATTTCAAAGGTTTACTAATGTTAAGAAGCGTAAAAAATTGCTGAAATGCCTGTAAGAATTCTAAGGAACTACAGTATGGACGCTAGATACATTAGAGAAGAGTATAAGTGTACTAAGGGACTAACATGCAACACAATAAGTTCAAGAAAAGAGGATTTCAAAGAGAAAGAAACATGACAAATGAAAGAGAGAAATACCATAGGAGTGAGGCAAATACAGGTACTAAATAAAGAAAGTGCTGGAATAATTATGGAGTAGCCTACCAGGACGTTTGATATAGAACTGAGAACTACAATAAGATACTGGCCAACTTGGGAGGCTGAGGCAGGAGGATTGTGAGTTCAAAGTCAGACTCAACAACTTAGCAAGGCCCTAAGCAACTCAGTGAAACATTGTCTCTAAATTAAATACAAAAAGGGATGGGAATATGGCTCAGTGGCTGAGTGCCCCTGGATTCAATCCCTGGTACCCCCCCCCCAAAAAAAGGTATTGGCACACAGGTAAAGCCCACCAAATACAGAATTATTGACAACTAACAGGAACTGTTAGAAGAGAATGCTATTCCAGTTAGAATCTTCAAAACAAACCCAAGGCAACATCATGATGGTATTGACTGAATGTTTCCATCCCCTTGAATCTGTATGTGGCAATCCTAACCCCAATGTAATGGTATTTGGAGGTGGTATCTTTGGTTATTCAGATTAGATCATTTGTGAATGAGATAAGTGCCCTTATAAAAGAGGCTCCCGAGAGACACCTTTCCCTCCTGCCATGTGAGGATGCACTGAAAAGATGACCACCTAAAAACCAGGAAGCAGGCTCTCACTAGATGCCCAAAATGTCAGAACACTGATCTTGGACTTTCCCCTCCAGAACTGAGAGGTAACTGTTATTTATAAGCCTCATCTATGGTATTCTGTTTTAGCAGCCCAAGTAGATTAAGATAAAAAACTGGTACTAAGGATCAAGATTAAAATTGGTGCTAAGGATCAAGATTAAAGGTGGTTAAGAGGCAGAAGTGAGTTTCAAGCCAAGTACTGTCCAATTCCAAGGCCTGGCCATCTGCTCACCATTTAGTACTCTGCAGTGTGACCTGTCTGATCAAGGGTCTGAGGAAGAATAGGACTCCAGGGTACAGAGAATGTAATTCTTGGTGTCTGTCAATCATGTTGGTAATGGTAAATACCTGGCACTCATGTTTAGCAAGCACTGCCATTAGAGTTAAATAGGAACATGTGTTTGTGTGTGCTGCCCTGTTACATAGACTTTAAAGATAATGCTCCAATGTTTGTGACTTGAGCAATAACACATGAGCTAGGAAAATGTCCTTTGCATTGCGACCCAATGATTCCTATTCCCATTATTACTCACTTTTTTGTGTCAAATTGTTGAATATAAATATGTTTGTGGATCTGGCCCCAAAACAGGCCAGATAATGTGAGCCACAGCCCAGGGCTAAGTTTCAAAAGACTCAGACATCCTGGGGCTGGACTTCTTGGGAAGCCAACTGTGATCCAGCCTTACCCTTGCTGCAGTCTCCTCTAGCTCAGCCTTCTCCCTGGGAATTGGTACCACTCCAACCCAGTCCCAGAATTCCCTACCTGCCAGTGCTCCCTCTGCCATCTGGGCAGCTTCGGTCCACAGACTCTTCAATCGTCCCTACCGTCCTTCCCTAGTCTACTCGGGCCCTGGCAATTATATTCCTCCTCTGGATATTGTGTCCCAATATCTTCATGGCCTTATTTCTTCCAGACATGTGAAAGAAAGAAGTCAAAGTGGAACAAAAACGAAAACCAACTAATTAGCCAACCAACTAAAACAAACAAAATTTAAAAAGCTTTATACTTTCAGCAACTTAGTGAGACCCTGTCTCAAAATAAAAAATTAAAAGGGCTGGGGATGTGGCTCCGTGGTTAAGTGACCCTGGGATTAATTCCCAGTACAAAAACAAAACCATATACTTTTATGTATGTAAGCAGCTAGCCTAACACCATGGGACAGTCTTACAGAAAATAACCTCTCCCACCACTCTGTCCCCAAGGGTAACCTGCTTTAGTTCTCTTCAGAGCACCTTATTGAAAGACCTGATACATCAGACATCTGTTTATGGTTTCTTGTGCTTCCCCACCCTCTACACATTGTAAATCCTAAGGTGAACAGAGACTTTCATCTCCAACACCTGAAATAGCACCTGTGCATTGTGAGGCCGGAATACATCAAACCAGACTGGAACAGCAACTGCCACTCCCCTTTCTGTGGTTAATTTTCAGGGTCACCCTGAGACTCACTTTAACCTCAGTGAACTTGCAGCACAGAGGTGGGAAGAGACAGAAGCCTTCAGGCTGGACCCAGGCCCTCTGAGGGTCTGCACTGTCCTACTCCCCAGCCTTCCAGCATGTACAAAGGGAGACCTCACACTTTCCATCTTATTTCACATTAGACTTCAGAGTCTCATATTGATATTCCCACATTGGTTTCACATTAGTTGATCTAGCACTTAGTGGGACTCTAAGCTATAGGAATATAACTAGAAACTAATTTTGGATAGATAAGGAAAGAAGAATGATAGCTAATATTTGCTGTTTGCTATATGCAAAACATCATGCTAACTCCTTTGAGTTATCTTTTTTTACCCAAACAACAAGTCCATGAGGCATGCACTATCATCAGCCCATTCTGCAGTTCAGAAGACTGCAGTTAGTCCTGAACCTGCAGTCACATGGCTTGTCAAGGAGTCCAGATCTGTTGATGTGAAAGACAGTACCTGAGGAAGAAAGGAGGGAAAATGAGAGAAGGCAAATGACATGGTATTTGATTTAGTAAATGGTAGTATTTATGTTTTGTTGAATCCCCAAAGTTATATCTTAAGCTATAATTCATATTTTAAAAACTATCATTTCAATGTGAAAATATGAGTTCAGAGCTAAAGAATTTCTGAGTGACAATAGTGAAATTGTCGTTAACTTCTGCTGTTCAACAGAAGTGCGTGCTCACTTCAGTATCACATGTACTAAAACTGGAACCATACAGAGAAGATTCGCTTGGCCCTTGTGCAAACATGACACCCAAATTTGGGAAGTGTTCCATATTTAAAATAATAAAATAAAACAGAAGTGCTTAACTTTGCAAGTGTACAGCACAACACCTGACCATCAGACTCAGGGCAAGAATTAATGGCCATTCTGTCCTTGTCACCACTCATGTCTCTAGCATGGCTCCCTGGAATCTTCAGACTTCTGTTTCCTTGGGAAGCTATGTTGCTCTGGCTCTGGTTCTTTATTTTGAAAAGTGCAATCTAGTAATAACCAAAAGTTGTCTGTAAATACAAATCCAATTTCTTACTGAATTGTGTTCTCACTCACAGGAGCAAAAGCTCCCACTACAGAGGTCACTCCTGAGCTTAGCCTGCTGGAGCCCTGGTGCCTGGTCCTTCAGGTCCTGAAGGCAGGCTCACCAAGGGCCAGTAAGGAGAAGCTCACTGGAGGAGGAATACAGAATGGAGGAAAGCCCAAGACAAAACCAACGACCTGGCCCTTTGCCCAGGGCTCTCCGTGATCATGAGCCTGAAGTCAGTTTTCTTCTGGGAGAAGCCTCATTCCACTGGGCAGCTGGACCTGATGAGATGAAGGAATGTCACAATTTTTCTATGCAGTCTAGTGTGGGTGTGGTTCTTAGTACAGTTCAGGACAGGGGTATTCTTGTCTGGTTTTTAACAGTGCCTCTCTTGACCTTTACATTTCTCACCTAGAGTGTTGTTACTTTGTTGTGTAGACGGTGATAAGGGAAGTGAGTTCTGGCTTATTTCACAGACATGGAAAGTCATCTCTGACTTTGCGTGGCCTCATTGCTAGCTACATCTATAAATGTGGAGTTGACAGTTTGAAATTCTGTGTATTTGGTAATTACATCCAAGACAAACAGATGTCAACCAATAATTAGAAAGTATATAAAAAAGATAAACATGCACTTCAATGATAAGTTACATGAAAGGAATCTAGAATATAAGAAAACTTTTGTTTCCTGTATTTTAATAATGCATTGTCACTACATTTCCATCCCCTGCCGAAAGGCCTACATGTTCAGTACAGACACAATTTTTCTTTTTGACTTATTTTCCATCTAAGGGTGGCTGAGTCTGAGGGTGGGAAACCTACAAAGTGGGCTGACTGTATTACCATTCTCCTACTAACTTCCAAGAATTTCATTTGTATTGGGGTATCTATCTTATTTATTGAAACAGTCCTACTAACAAGCATACAGGTTGTTTACTGTTTGGAATTATTACAGAACAATGCTTTGATGAGCATCTTTGCTCACTTGTACAAATCCAACAGGAATATAAATTCTTAGAAGTAGAGTAGCTTGGTCCAAGTTTATGGTCTTTTTTTCATTTTAAAAGTGTTACCAAATCAGGTAGGTTATTTAGGTGAGTTTTGTTCATATTTGTAAACAACAGACACTAGTAATGTTTTCAAAGGATCGAATGAGATAGAAGGATATAAGAACATAGTATATAGCAAATAGGCTGTTAATGAATATTGGTCGCCTACTTTCCTTTTCTTATACTTAGACGGCTATTTATGAATATTTCCATAGCTATAGCTTTGACAATGAGTTCGACAGTTAATTCCAATATTCGTAGCCAACCCTGAAGCACCACTTAAACACCTGTTATTGACTAACTAGCAAACTCTGAAGGTCAAATATGTTCTTGAGAAGACACAACCTTTGACATTAACCCTAAACACCATTTTCCTAGGAACACAGGTGATTTATTTGATTATTGCCTCTTTAAAAACAAAATGAGCTGGGCTATTATACAAGCTGAAGTACACTTTCCAGTCCTGTCTCTGTACTTGAGTGAAAATCGTGCTGGTCCATGTCATTTGTTTCATAAGCCCCATATAATCCAACTCTGGAAAACCACTCTGACACCTCCGGAGCTCTCTTTGCTCTTGGGGGAACCCGTCGTCCCCACCTAGGGGTCCTCAGCGTTTGGACTCCGTCAAGGGCGCCAGAGGTCCCTGGGTCGCGGGGACTGAGGTCCCGCCGGCTCGGCCCGGGAGTGCTGCAGGCCGGTCGGCCGTCGCCGGC